AGGTCCAATCTGGAGAGTGAAGCCCTGCGCGGTTGAAAAGGAAGTGAAGGAATGGGCGGGAGCCGCCACCTATGTACCACTCAAGTGCAGGGCGGCCCTGCTCCTGCCAGCTCCATGGCAACCTGCTCTGGAAGTTTCCACTGGATGAGGCGTATGCTGCATGTCAAGCCCCACTGGTGTGTGATTTACATGGAGACCATGAGGAACTTTTGTTTCTTGAGAAAGAATATGATATGTGGTGGCACTCTTCTCCGTCCTGAACTACTAGCCAGTTTTCTGTACTGTCTTTCTTACCTTGTTCTAAAGAAAGGCTGGGCCAGTGGTTTAGAATGTTTCTTCCCGAGTTCTGGTAAATCTCTCAAGAACTGGCCACCACCTATAGGTATAGGGAAGTAAGGCTGCCAAAACAATTTCAAGCATGATCTACAGTTTAACCTACATTTTTCCTTTGTTATACTGCCTTGCAGCCTAGGCTATTTCACCATGAACTTCTTGGCTTGGATCAAACAACCACACACACGCCTTGGTCACCATGTTTTGTCTTTCGAATAACAAAATTCTAAATTATACATTGATTTGGTGTTTAAACTCTCAGTTTGTAATCAGCGCTGCTATCCACTTTCCTCTTCCTCTTTGTATGTATGCTTGTCTGTGCATGTTTTCTTTTAAAATCCCTCCACTTCTGTTTTTGTTTTGCTCAATCAAGTTTCGATTCCCAAGCACTTCGGTGCCTGTGTACTAAGCATTGTGTACAACTCCCTAAGAATGTTGTGGGGGGTGAAGTGCAGTTTTTGGAAACAGCTAAGAAGATGCATAGTTAAAAAGCAAATATACCGAAAGACAGCCTGCAAATGGATTTGATGGCAGTGGCGATGAAGGCAGCGCTGCAGCACGAATGGGGAAAGGCAGGGAGCGATGGAAGGTAACAGCGCCACCAGCCAAGATTGGAGTTTCATAGGTGAGGAAGGAATAATTGTGTGATGTGCAAACCAGAGCAACAATGGAAAAGGGACTGCCCCCAGAACAAGGCCTGGGCTGTCGTGGCCGCTTTGGGGGCTCTGGGGGAAGAATAGCGAACTCCCGGGAAGAGTTCCATGTCACCCCACAACCCCGGGAGAGAATGATGGTGGGAGATGAGGACATGGATTTCTTGGTGGACACTAGGGCAGTCTGCTCAATTGTGACTTTCCCAATTGGTGGGGGGGACACAACAGGGATCCTTGACAATGGGGGCACATGGCATCAGGCCACCTGCCCAGTTGTGGGGCCCATGGAGTGCTTCCTATGGAACTAATTCTTTTTGCCTTCAAATGAGAATGCCAGGATGGGACAAAGAGCCAGCTGTGTTGAACCACCCTC